GATGGAGAAGCCAAGGGTTTGGAGGTGCTCATCGCGCTGCCCCCGTGCCAGGGGCAGTCGCTAACATTTTGGCGGTCGCGTTGTGGCAGCCACTGTCCATGTCGGAGCCGCCCGCGTCCGTCAGCCGAGGCCGGGCTGCGCTGTCGTTGCCTTGTTCTCTGCTTGTCACAGACCTGCGGAGAGGGGGACGGGAGCGATCACCACCAGCAGCCTCCTCCTCCTCCTCCCCAGCATCGCCAGCCGAACCTGCCTGCCCAGCCCAATGGACTCCCGCCATCCCATCGCAGAGTTCTCGGCGCACCAATGACTCAGGGACAATCACTACTTATTTCTATCAATAGAAAGTGTTGTGTCAATAACGCAGCCAAGATCTCGCCAATCGTTAACTTCCAAGAGGAGAAGGTAAACTAGATAATTGCTCAATTCGCTTCCAACAGTCAACAGGAAAACTTTTTTTTTTCTCTGCAGTCGGCGACTACTTCTCATTGGTGAGGGACGTTCCCCCGCCCAGAGAGGAGGCGGGGGCGCTTCCACCGCGCCGCGCGCCCTCCCCTCCGCGCACACACTCCGGGGCGCACACATCCCTCCCCTCCACCCTCACCCCACCCTCACCCCACCCTCACCCCTTCGCTTTTTCCCTCTGTCTTTTTAATTCTCAATCTGCTTAACCAAGCTTTAGAGGCCAAGCAAATCTGAGATCAATTTTCTCGTTTAGCTCTAAGTGACATCATCTAAAATCATTGTGCAGGGGCTAAATAAGGAAACGGAGTCTAATTCGAGGGCAAACGCCAGGCTATATTTATCAAATTCCAAGCTCCAGAAAGCGGCAGCCAGGATGCCTCCGGCAGCGAAACCCCAGCTTCCCCCGCACGGTTCCGCGGGGCCCGGGCTGGTCCCGGGTCTGAGCTGTGCTGTCTCCTCCGCAGCTGCTCTTTCTTGCACTAGGGCGCGGGGCTGAGTGCTCCCGGCATCCCGGCATCCCTGTGGCCAAACGGAGCCTGGACCACTAGGAAGACGCCAGCAGGTAACTGGCCTCCCCAGTCGCCCCTGAGAATTAAAGGCCTTGGGAGACTTGTGATGTGTTTGTGGTTTTGTGCATGCGATGCCGTGACAGACGCCGCACCCACAAAGTTGAAGAGGAGTTGCAGGGAATAAGCGCGTGTCACACGAAAAGAAACCCCCGTGAAGGCCGGACCCCACCCCCGCCACACACCAACACACGCGTGCGCTTTCATGCGTTTCCATTGAGAGGCCGGAAAGAGTGGGTTTTTTTGTTTGTTTGTTGTTTGTTTAAGTGCCTGCACTCACTAGAGCTCTCTCGGAGCATTTTTAATTCTGAACGTTGAGTGGAGAAGGGAAACAACTTATTGATTTCCTCCCCCAACCTCTCGGCTGCAGGTGTCCGCACGCCTCTCCGAAGCAGCGCGGGCGGCGGGGCTGCGTGAGCACCGCAGGGCGCGAGCCCAGCGACCTGCCGGCGCGGGAGTTCTAGCTGCGACCTCGCCGGCGCCTCCCGGAGCGCGCGGAGACCTGGCTCCTGCGCCGGGCCGCGTCCGGGCGGCCTCTGGGTGTGGCGCCCGGGACCAAACTTGCAGGGAGGAGCGGTGGAGTGTCAGGAGTGTTTCTGGAAGACTCCAGTGGCTGCGACTCCAGCTGCGCGGGTTCTCGCCGCCGAGGCAGGCGCGGGCCCGGAGCGCGCTGGGAGCAGCGGCGCGCGCCCTGCTGGTCCCTCCCTTTGGCGAGCCGGCGATCGTGCGGAGGTCAGCACCGAGGTCAGCTGTGCCAGGGCCCGGCGTGCCCTGGGGGCTGCACCGGGAGAACGCGGCGGCCGCGAGCCCGCGCCGGGAGGCGGAGGAGGAGCGCAGAGCTGCCAGCTCGGGCCTTGCGTTCTGCACGCCCCTGCCGGTGGCGGTCCGCGGCAGCCCAGGGTGCTGCCTACCCGGTGAGTGACCCCCGAGTGCGCGTGTAGAACGGATTGGGGTCGGGTGCGTCTCTTGGGAGGCGGGATGCAAGCCCACTAGAACCTGGGATTGTTGAGCTCCTGACCAATTCCACCAAAAAATGCGAAGTCTCCGGAAATTGACCTGAAACATTACCTCTTCCCTGTCTCGCTGCCCAGCATTTGCCGGGGGCCACTCACCCTAGCTTTTCGTGAGGGCCGGCCTCGCCCCCGTCCGGAGAGCCGAGAGGGGTGGACGCGGAGAGAGCCTGGGCTGGGGCCGTGCCAGATGCCCAAGGCCGAAGCCGAGCGGCTGGGAGGGTGGTGGGGAAACCCAATTGCCGAGGAAACCAAGGGAGAGGCTTGGATCTTGTTGCAAGTTGAAGGCAGCCCAAGGGCCAGGTGGGGGGTGCGAGGGGCCTTAGCGACTAGGCCTAGACGTGCCCCCTGTCCGGTCTCTGGTGGCTTCGGGCTGGTTGGATCGAAGCGGCGGTAGAGAAGTGCAGAAAGAGGCGGGCGCAGAGCCCGGGGGCGAGTCCGGAAAGAGGCGCCACGCCTCCGGGAGCACCTCGGAGCGGTCCCAGGCCCGGGCGCAGTCACCCAGGGTGCGCCCAGGCTGGAAATGTTCCTCCCATTTGCTCTTGGGGCCACAGATCCTGTCCTCTCTTCTCCCCCTGCTCAGACAAAGGGCGCTGGAAGGCTTTGCTAGGGGAAGGGGAAGGGGGCGTCCCACGACAGATGGGTCGCCGTTAAGACTTTAATTGCAGCCTTTTGTGGCGGATCTAGTTTCCTTTCCTACCTGACGATTCCCACATCGAAAACCCCCCTCCCCATTGTATCCCCGCGACACAGGGCTCGGTTTAAAGGAAAAAGCAGAGAAGCACGGAGCAGCCTGGCTCTGGCAAGCGCGGGCGCACCCAGCTGACTCGTACAACTCACCACTTCAGGAGCGTCGCCTGCCTTGTTGACTGAATGCCACCAGTTTGTTTTACATTTGACGCGTGTCCTTCCCTCTCCCCCTCTCCCCCTCCCCCACTCCCTACTCCTTAAGGGCACACTGACCTTAGTACATTTCTCCTTTTCCTAAAAAGGAAAATCGTGGCCTATGGGTTCTACATGCTTTGTATAGCTAATATTTCAGCAGTTCGTTTTCCACTGGTCTTTTCGGGATTTGCCTTTTTGACAAGTGTTTGAAAGTAGTGTCATTTGAGTAACAAATATCACAAAGTAGCAATTATGCCCTGCCTTTACAGACCTGACCTTCCTAATCCTGAAGCCTGAAGAGGTGCTTGCCAAATCCAGTTCTTGATATTCCAACATGTGTGAGTCAGTATTTTACAGTCAAAACCTAACCGAAGGCAGGTGTTAATTTTTACAAATATCCCTATTGAGTAAAGATTGTCTTAAACAAAATGCAAAATGTAATTTAGGAAAGGCCTCCATCTTATTGTCAATCTGTCCAGTACTTCCGGATCCCCCCCCCCCAAAATACATTTGAAAATTACCACCAAGAAAATAAAACCACCAATAAAAGCAGAGCATATTTGGAAAATTGTGAAGCTTTTAAAACTGTTCAACACTTAGCATTGTTTATTAAACAATGCAAGGGAGCCCGTTTGTTTTCTTAAAGGCAAAAGAGAAACTCGGTAATAGTTTCTTTGGGTTTTCTTGAAGAATCCTCTAATCCCACCTCTTTTGGTCGGAGCTGATGATTAAGGATCCCTCGCCTTCCCAACCTGGGAAAGGCGCTGTTTATTTGCCCTCCCTACCCACTTAAGTTCACTCGGAAGGCCAGTTCCGAGTGTGTGCGCTTTGTCCTGTATGCGATGTTGTGAGGGAAGCAGACCAGTCCTTGACATGAAGAGACCAGATAACAAACTCCGAGTTAAGACCTTCTGAGGAAATTAGAAAAAAGCCCTACACCTCTAAACCAATGTAAGGTTCTCTTTAGGCATCTAATTTTGATTTCAATGATTCCTAAACCATGTTCTTGACATTACTCAAGAACTTGAATAATTTTTACAGGCTTTTAATTTGCACCCCTGTCACCAGTAAATGCACTTTCTGATCAAGATTATTGCAGTCTGATTTTAAAAGCAACACAATAGAGCCATCAATTCCCAAATCATGCATAATTTTTAATCTCTTCTTCTTTACTAAGTCATGAAATACTGTTGAGTTTTTTTAAAATAAAAATATGGATTGGAAAAATCATAACTTATCCAGCCTTCTGCCAAGTGCATGAATTTATCTCTGCTCATGTTTTCAGACCTTCCCAACATCCACAACTCCCACCTCTTCATCACAAGCAACAGTCTGCTTTCTCTGCTTCTTATTAGCCACTTGGAGCTAAAGGAGGGAGAAAGGATTATTATTCTGAGGAGCCCTCCGCCCGCCCAGGCGCTCAGACTCACCCTTACTCTTTCCTGTTTAGTACGTAGCACCAAAGGCAATGTATGTTCCTTCTAGAGGAGGAAAAAAATTCCTAAATTCTTCTACAGTTTTTCTCAGTCTCTATTTCTGACTTGTCTTCTGTTCTTGGTTGTGGTGTGGGAAGGAGGCGAGGTGACGGAATAGGACACAGATAGGAAGGGCCTGCAAGGTTCAAGGAAAGAGTCTTGAGTGTGAGTTAATGAATACGCGACCAGAACTCACTTTCCTGCCCTTCACACCCGGGCCACAAGTTCGAATGTAAGGCGACTAGTGTGTTTTAGTTAGTTTGGTAGCAAATAAAGAATTCTTGCCAGATTTGCACAGCGTGTGAAGGGCAGTATCACAGATCAGGAGTCTAGGAGGGAGCTCCTTCGCTCAGAGTCCTCATCCCTTTTGGGGACGGAGAGGTGGGTTACTGTATCTTTGACATCGGGATTTCATTTAAGCCTAGTGAAATCATTCTTCTCCAAACTTATTAAATCCGTTTGTAAAAGTAAATGAAGCGCCCCAAGGGTTGTCTGACAACTGTTCAGTGAGCGGCAGGCCTTACCACTAGGATCACCTCCACCCTGGGTTTGTCTCGGCCACTCCACTAACGCTGGGATTTTTCTCACCATTCCCACAGGCCTGTGTGGTGTGTTCCCTCCAGACTGCCCGGCTCTGACTCAGGGCGGGACTTGATGGAAAAGAAGTTTCTAAACAAGCAACACAGTTTCTCCAACTTATTGGAGGAGCTGAAGTCAAGCAACAAAAACCAGCCACGGTTTTCTTGAAATTGACAGTGTTATTGAAACCTGGGAAGTGAACAATTAGAAGACAAGTCCACCCCCACCTATGCTCCCTTGCCCTGCACTGATAGCTGGTTAGTGCAATTGGTTCGTTATCATTTTGCAGCCATTGGTCGGATAATTTTAAAAATTCATTTGATGGTCAAAATAAAAAAAATATTTCTTCAACACACAGCACGACTCTTTCCTTGATTCTGACCACGAGGTTCGGAGCAGTTTTAATATTATTTTCAAGCTTTCTCCCTTATTCCTCACGAGATAAAAGTCAGTAACTGAGATTCACATCACATAGAGCAAAGAATGCGCTTTAAAAAGAATGGAGAAGCCATAGAAGTAAACGAAAACCCCTGAGCAGAAACGCCTGAGAGCTCTTTATAAATTCAGTTACCTCCGGGAAGGGCGGGCGGTCGCTCGGGCCCCGAGCACCCCGCGCGGACCCGCTGCCCTCGGCCGCCTGGCCTCCGAGGGGAACCGCGTTCCCGCCGTGGGCGCAGGAGCCGAGGCTGTGGCCGGAACCCGGCCATTGTATGCCAGCCCAGCCCGAAGTGAACCGGGAAAGCCGACCCTTCTCCGCGGTCTGGTTCTCCACCATGGCCCCCGGCCCCCGAGTCCAAACAGTTTCAATGACTTCGGCAAGGCCGAGGGTCGGTGCGTGCAGCCGCTCGGAGGGGCTGGGAGCTGGGCGCACTCCCGCCATGCGGCCCGCTGCGCCCTGCGCGTCCCGCCGGCTCCGGGTCAGGCGTGGCCTCCGGGCGCCCGATCCGTCCGCGCCCGCGGCCGCCCACCCGGTCATCTGACCTCCGGCCTCCCGGCCCGGCCCCTCGGTCCGCATGGCGCTCCTCCCCCTTCTCGTCCCTCTCCGGGTGGACCCCGCGGCGGCCTTAGCCCGCCCTCCCTCCCCCGCCCGGATGGGAGGAGGGGAAACGCCAGAGCGTTTGGGGAGGGGGTGCGGGATCGGGTTTAGAGATCAAGTCGCAGGTGGCCGGGAAGTCCCGATGGAAAAGTTTGCGAACAGAACAGTCACTAGCAGACTTGCTGTGACGGCTCCGGGTGTAACCGAAGGGCCCGGCCATCTAGACGGCAGGGGCGAGAACACCGGCCCGACGCCGCGGCTCGCCCCGGAGGGAACCTGAGCATCTTCCCATTCGTCTTGCCTGTCACTTTGAGTTTCCCGGAAAACACTTCCTTAAGCCCATTTTAAACGGGGGCAGGAGGCACCTCTGAGCATCGCCTCCGTAAACCTTTCATGTCCATTGTCACGGACTGTGATTTTTGTGCCTCACCCCCGCCCCCGCCCCCAGAACCCTCCCGCGCCGTCGGACCTGTGCTTAGAATTAGTTGGTGTTTCCTGATGGCCCCTGGGAAAGCTAGAAGATTTTCTAAACGGGATTCTTCTGTTTGACAGTTTCGTTCCACCTTCCCCTCTCGGCCCCACCCGCCAAGCTGCCCTCTCATCCGGCCCCGATCTCCCTCTCGGTCCAGCCAACGAGGGGCAGGGGTGGCTGGCCACCGGGCGCAATAACCCGGGGCCTCCGCCAGCCGGTTCCCAGGTCCTGAGCGGAGAAGATGCTCAGGCACGGGCCGCCCCCCCCTTTCTTGGTGGGGGTGTACGCTTCCCTGCTGTCCCCCGCCCCCATCCCCCTCCTCCATTCCGTCCTCCCTCTCCCTCAGCCTCAGACCAGGTCCTACAGGCGCCGGACGGGTTTCCTGAGCTGAGCCTCGATATCACGCAGAGAAAATGCCAAGAAGAGGTCGGATCCCGCATTAGGGAATCAGCGACTTGTACCCTAAGTCGAGTGATTGCTTCCTTAGTATGGGTTCATTTGGAAGTCATTTTTCGTCCCCCTTTACTTCAGTTAATTCTTTGAATTCTGCGAACCGTGGGCGGCGGCGCCCTTAGAGGGGTCTCTCTTTAGTCTCGCAGAGGGAACCCCGCCAGGCCTTCAGCGCCCCCGTGTTGGTGTTGACGTTGGCGACGGGGAACCCGGAACGACATCCCGCGGAACCTGGCGACCTGGAGGGGCCGCCTGATCTTACAAACCCAGCTCTCTCTCTCTCTCTCTCTCTCTCTCTCTCTCTCTCTCTCTCTCTCTCTCTCTGTCTCCCACGAGGGCCGTAGGCCCTGGCGAACCGCAAGGTCAAGGCTGGGGAGCGTAGCTGGTTCTGGGTAAAAGCCGGAGGGAGAAAGGAGGCTGTGAATCATGCAAAGACTGAATGGGGTCGGTTCCTGTTGCAGGGGCGGAGGGGGGGCGGGGAATCCTTTACCTAACCCTGTGATTCACAGTTTCTCAGAAATTTACATAATACAGGGGTAGATGTAAACCTAAAGGACAAAAATAATAATTCAACAGCACTTTTTCCATTTTCGCACCACGGGCCTGGATATGTTCCCAGTGTTGGCACATGAGCTGATTTCCAGAGCCTTTTACTCATGACGGAGAATAACCGAGCTCTCACACCCCTGTAGAAAGGAGAGGGAGAAGGGGAGAGAAAAGGGAGAGACAGAGAAGTTGCCTTCAATCACGCTGATGCTGATTTCTTACTAATGGCAAAGGAGCTTTAGGAATGAAAACGATAAACTGGGTGCCAAAGGTGGGGAGCATGATAATAATTGGGGTGCCTCGCGTTCCAAAGGACCCGTTCCCTGTTTATTTGACTGACGTAAACGCTTTATTTGAAAAGCAAAGCCATTACCCTTTGATATTAATAGAAAATTCCAATTTACTTTTTCCCCAAATAAGTGAGGGGCCACGCCCACAGAAAGAGAGACAGCCCTATGGACTGAGCGCTAACCAACTAACTCACATACAGGAAGGGGAAGTGAAACGTAGCAGCTACAGAACACATGTGATTGCTGTTGCTGACTATTTATGATTAGATTTTCCTCCCTGCATTGGAACTCAGACCCCACTAGTAAATTCGAATTCTGGAGCCATACTTGTGGTGTTCTCTTAAGGACTTTATTTGGAACTCAAGGTGAGAGGAAATCCAGGGACAAGGTCTGTGGGACCCAGTGTCTCCTTATATTAGCCTGGAGGGCCACAGCGGTGCATGTACACTCTGGTCTTAGGTTGGGCCTCTGCCAAGTGGGTCCAGCCCCAGACCTGGGTGAGCAACGGAGCCCTCCCCTCTAGTTTCGGTGGAGGGTGGTGGTCCCTGGAGGTGGGTAACCGAAGGCCTTTCTTCATCTTTCTCCTCCTTCTGCATCTGACTATTATTCAGGCTTCTTTTTTATCTGCAAAACCCGTGTGCAAAATTGGCCATACTCTCTAACACTCACTCCAGCCCACGGGTAGTTTGCAGTGGTTGTTTTACATTCATGTTTAGAGCTTTTAAGTAAACGTGTCTGGGCAGGAACTTAAGAGGAGAAAGCGTCCATTTTTCCTCCCAAGTACGCAGTGAATTCTGCCCCCATGTGACCCCCAACTCTCCCCTTAAAGGGTAAAATATAATCCCCTTTCCTCCTAACCGGACCATCCCTTTAAAGCTGGATTCTTCAACTATGTGTTCAAATCAAGAACAAACTTTCCTGCTTTCTAAGAAAGTTCTTCCCAAGTACTCCTACCATCAGTTTGTGGGGACATGTTGATAGCAGGGTGTTTCAGCACCGGAGAGCCACACAACCGGTGGGCAGACAGGCTAGTGGCAGTTCCCCTTTGCCTTCAATAGCTTGTCTGTAAATGGGACTAAATCAAAGCTCCCTTTATTCTTGAGAGGCCTTGGGGATTGAAAATACATTTAAAAATAAAACTACATATAAAAAGTCATTTATCACCTTGTCAAAACCTTAAGCTAGAAACTTTTCCAAAATATTTTTCAGACAACTGTATTTAAAAAACACCCCTTCTCAGTGATTTGATTTCTGGTTATTTGCAAGGAAATGTTGAAATACACATATGCAACCACATTTGCTAAGTTTTTCTTACAACCTTGAGGACTTCCTTTATCATACCTCAGGGCCCTGCTCTCCCACATTCAGTCCCGCGTTCCCCAGGGGACACTTTCTTCCGTAGATTCAGGAATTGAATTAAACTTTTATAAAAGCCTTTCGAAGATCCCAGTTTGATTAACACAGATTTCATCTCTTTAGAAGCAGTGATGCATTTTTAAAATTAACCATTTTTTTAATACACTCTCCTAATGATCTGAAATAACTCACCTAGCAATTAATTACACAATGTAACAAAAAACTGGGCAGTTTGAGTGAGTGACAATGAATGCGCTTCTTCAATACAGCAATTCTGTCATGTGTTTTTAAAAATTATGACCCAGCTTTGGGGTGTGTGTGTGTGAGGGTGGAGGTGGGTGGGACCTAGCAAAAGCCCCCCCTTGCCACAATCTGTGACTATCCTGGCCTTTCTCATGTTTCACTTTCCACTTTTTGAAATCCAGTTCTTTTAGATTCTGACTTTTTACTACATAGCCCCTCTTTCATGAACCTTTTCCACATCCCTCCCAAAATCTCTTCCCAAAGTAACAATTAAGTGTGCTTCCTTGGAATTTCAAGAAAATGCCCTAAACAATAAACCTCAGCACTTTAATTGTTTTCCTGCCAATCACACCCTAGAGCAGGGGTCCTCAAACTAGGGCCCTTGGGCTACATGCAAATACAAATATTGTATTTGTTCCTGTTTTGTTTTTTTACTTCAAAATAAGATATGTGCAGAGTGCATAGGAATTTGTTCATAGTTTTTTTTAAACTATAGTCCGGCCCTCCAACGGTCTGAGGGACAGTGAACTGGGCCCCTGTTTAAAAAGTTTGAAGACCCCTGCCATAGAGAGATATTACTTGTTGGGTGTCAGGAAACAGGTGGTGTTAAAAGGCAAACCAGAATTGATTTAAAGCAGAAAGGGCAGTAATTTGAGGCACCACTTTCAATGTTTGCAAAGGTACATGCCGTGTGTAGGAGCTCCTTATGCAAGCCTGTGCCAGGGCTAGGGAAAGAGGAACTAATCTGCCTGGTGGTCCTTGAGTTTGAATCAACTCTTCTCTCCCTCTCCGATGGAGAACCACTGACCCTGGGGATGGACA